TTTTATTATAGTATAGATGGATAGATATCTGTGAAACTTTTGCATTATTTTAATTCCTATATACATGCATACAGACATATATATATATATATATATATATATATATATACATACATACATACATACATACTTACAGCAAAATGCAAAAGGTTCATAGTTTATAAATAATATTTACGATTGGAAATTTTTCTTAATTTACCCGCCATTGACTGGTATGGCAAAAATAACTTTATGGACTCTGGATGAGAGTTACTGATGAGAGGAGTGATCTGTTTTGTGTGTAAAAGCACACAGGGTGGGGAGACTCGAAGAGAGGCACAGGAAGGTGAATGAGACCATTGTCTGTATAGGGCTGTGTGACGTATGCTCAGCTTGAGAGCTCTCTCTGTGTGTGTGTGTTTGTGTGTGTGTGTGTGTGTGAAAGGTTCGGTGCTCAGGGAACCAAAGCTTGGCCCTGACCATGAATCAAGCTCAGCCCAGCGCCAAGGCTGACAAACACATACACACACACACGTGGACACTCAGGAGACCCTGAACATCTGTGCCCCACATAACACAGACTGCCAAGCACTAGTGAGGACTACATATCCTCCACAGAGAGCTGGGGGGGAGGAGGGGCGCGATCATACCATCAAAGAAGAAAGCTTCTCAAAAGATTTGGAGTAGTTCACGATGAGGATGAAGTTCATTTGCAGTATAGCTGTCTGATTGCAGTTAGTCTTTAAGAGTATGTGTGTTTGTGTGTGGATGGATGACACAGAAAGTCCTGTGTGTGTGTGTATGTGTTTGCTGTCAAGACCTCTGAGAGAGACACAGTGCTCCCTCCGAACCCCTGACAGCCCTCCTGCCCTCTTTCCATTACTAAAGCTAATAACACACACACACACACACACACACACACACACTCCAGCACGCTGCTGCCTGACACACCACACACACGCTGCAGGAAGCTGTTCTTGCTGCAGTTCTGAAATAATTTGCTACGCACATACAGAGAAATGAGTAGAACAGGCATGAAATGAAAAAAAGGTGACTAAATGGTCAGTTGACCAACATTTGACCATTTTGAGCCAATAACTGCCTGAGCATTGTCAACAGATAAATACACATGGCCTATTGTAATTTTTTTTGGTAAACTTAGCATAAACATTGTGTAAAAGCAACAACAAAAAGAGATCAAAACATCCCTCGGACACCTCAATGGTTGTAGTTAGAAGTCAATACAGCATTACATATTTAAATAAATAAATAAATAAATACAACATATATAATATATATAGCTATTTAAAATATCTAATATCTAAATATCTATAAAAATATAATTGAAAATAGAAAAAGCTACTTAAAGCCACTTTTAGATAGATTTGAAAAAGGGGATGGAAACACTCTTATCTAATAAAGATTTTTAAGTTACGAGAGAATGGTGAATATTTTCTTTTTTTTTTATTGAATATTTTATAAATAAATATTTTAAATTAAATATTTAATATTAAATTAAATAGTAAAATAAATGTTTATTAATTTGCCAAATTGAGTTAATCTTTTGTGCTATATATTATAAATAATGTTATGATGATCATAAATTATATATTAATATTTCTGATTGTAGTTGTCAAATATTATTATATATTATTATATAATGCCACCTTACTGTCTAGATATTGGTATTAACCATTCAAAAACCCATTTCGGTCGAACAAATGTTTTCCCACCTGCAGCAATGCAAAAATGTGTTTGTGCAGTAACCGGTACATGCGGAAATTGTGTCTGGATGTGCTGTATCATTGAGGCCAGTCGATTAGGGACGCTCGTTTACAAAGGCCAAATGCTCTGCTCTTGGTCAAACACACGCACACACATACTTGCCTGACCCAGTATAAGTCTGGTTGGTATCTGGTCGTAACAAACGACTCAGCTCGGGCTGTTTATCTGAGGGGAAGTGGAGCAGCGAGGGGGGACAGGTGAGCAAACGGTTTGCTAACACGCTGACTAACACACTCCCGATTTCACACGGGGAGCGAGACGCATACGGCCCCCTCTCGCTTTTCTCTTACTGTTTTCTGACCCATTTCCTTTCCTCCTGCCTTTCTATTTTCCCTTCACAAGCCAGAGCGCGAGCGACTTTCGATGAATGTGCGTGTACATGCGAGTGTGTGATTGATCCGGCTAGAAGCAGCGTGTGAAAAAGAGAGGGAGGGCGGGAAGAGAGACAGAGAGAAAGGGAACGGTATAATAATACGGCCCTTTCATAATGATTAAAGCATTCATTAATTTTTCATCATAACCTGCCGTTTGCAGCTAATGGTCTTTGTGAGGTACTCTAGCAAACAATGGACAGGCCAGTTGAAAAGGGATTTTTATCAGGTTATGAGAGCCCTGGCTCAATGCACTTCCCACCTCCCTCTCTTCATTTCTCTTTTCTTTTCTGCTTCTTTTTCTCTGTGTCTGTGCTTCTTGAGGGACCGGGGCTTCTTTTGTTAGCACATTTTATTTGAACAGAAAGTAGAGAGATAATGCGCTACTGCTAATGGACTGTCTTTTGGTTGCTTGCTTGCTTTCTTGTTCTCAAGAGTTCTATAAGTATCTTATTTGTCTTCTTATATTTTTCCTGGCTTCCTGTATACGACAGCTGTTGAATTTCATAGCCAGACTCTTGGTTTGACCTTGTGGCTTTCTCCAATGTAACTATTTTCTCTGACGTAACTATTAAAATCAAATGTAAATGAAGCAAAATCCTCCTTGGTTTCATAGAATAGGATGATATTCACACAAATGAGCAGAATCAGTGCCAGAAAAACTCCAACGCCTGCCATTTACAAAGACTTACACATCACTGGCTAGTAGATCAGAGCTAAAAATGCTTAAAGTAAGATAAAATAAAAGTAAAAATTCTATATCTTTGGGCAACTCTAAATATGTTCCTAAACAAGTTGGTTAACAGTTACACAACAAAAATAAGCACATATGGGAGCAAAATTGACAAACTAAAAGGCATTTTGGGACAATACTGCCTTGAAAAAAACTAATTCTTCATGTTTAGGGCTTCACGGGGTACAGCAGTGATCACACTAGATGAACTGCAAGCCTAAAGCTCTGAAGTTTGTGTGTTTTCTCAGCCAAGACATTAAAAGTAATGTTTAAATTCTTTATAGGGCAAATGTCTTTATGAAATGTGAATTTGCAGAACTTGAACTTTGGTATTCACAGCGAAATGTTGTTGCATCAATATGAATGGAAGTCAGTGGAGCAAAATCTAGTGTGACCTCACCCTAAGACAAAGCACGGAGTAATGCAACAGTTGTACAACACCTCCACACACCCATACATACAAAAAACTGAGCACGTTTAACCCTGCTGTATATAAATGCTACAGTGAATGCTAGCTTTTATTTATGTATCTACTTGTCTATTCATCCATCCATCCATCCATCGTCAGTATGTTCACATGTGTATTTGCACACAGACTGGCTAATTCACATAGGGAGCAGGTTCTGATTATTCATGAGGAACTGGCCTCTAATTAAAGAGCGAGTGTGGTGTGATGTAAGAGACCGAGAGAGAGAGATCCTGTGGAAGGAGCTGAGAGCCGTTCTCTCAGTTATCAGACTGAAATGAATATGCAAAGTGTGGCACACAATGGCTCCGAACAGCTGATCCCTGCCTGCTTAAACAAAGGTCTGACTTTATCAACAGCTCTCATTAAGCAGAATTTGTTAGTCAGGAATGATGGGTATATAGATGGAAGAAAGAATGAGTGTTGTGCGAGTGAGTCAGGGAGAGAAAGAAAGAGACAGAATGGGAGATGCTCTCCGTGAAATCCTTCACACTTTCAGCCAGTTTCACATTGTAATTTCATCACAATAAGACACACACGTGTGCCAATGTCTTCTGAAAATCTAATACAGTGAACTTTTTCCACCGACAGGGTGCCAGTGCTGGTTTCGGAGCCGATGCCCAATCTGGACCTGTGCCATGTGCCGTTTCAACACAGAAAAACTGGTTCTGGAAGAAAAAACTTGGCTGCCCAATGGCTCCTAAAACCTGCTGGTCTCCAACTTTTCAGAACAACAACAACTCAAAGCTAGATAGCTCCCACTATAATAAAAAAAACTCTCTACACTGGAAAAAAGCCTGATGTGACAATGCTAAACAGCTCATGCTAAAATAAAACGATTGTTATCACAAAAAATATAAAAAGACTTTAATTTAATCAAAATATTTAAATATTTAATTAAATAGATTAAAATAAATAAATAAATGTTTTACATAATTTTCTAATAAATAAATATTTTTCCATGCCATTAAAAGAGGCTTGTGATAGTATAATAAATATAAACAATTCTTTCAATGACATCAAAAGTATTTATAAATTAATGGCTATGAAATTTTAAATAAATAAATGAATATTTTTCCCATGCCATTAAAAGTAGCTTGTGATAGCATAATAAATATACATTAACAATTCTTTCAATGACATCAAAAGTATTTATAAATTAATGGCTATGAATTTTTAAATAAATAAATAAATGAATATTTTTCCCATGCCATTAAAAGTAGCTTGTGATAGCATAATAAATATACATTAACAATTCTTTCAATGACATCAAAAGTATTTATAAATTAATGGCTATGAATTTTTAAATAAATAAATAAATGAATATTTTTCCCATGCCATTAAAAGTAGCTTGTGATAGCATAATAAATATATATTAATTCTTTCAATGACATCAAAAGTATTTATAAATTAATTGCTATGAATTTTTAAATAAATACATTAATCTTTGCATGGCATCAAAAGTAGCTTGTGATAAAGATGCTAAATTAAATGATTTTGTGTTACTGTATGTTCTCAAAATTCACAAACAATGACCACGGTATGACATGTTCATTACTGGACAGGTTGTATCGTTGTTTGGCTCTCAAGACTTTGAAAACACGCTGAAAATTTGAGTGAAAAGTGATGATGTGTGTCAAAACGTTTTAAATTCTCCCTCACTCACCCTCTGGCTCATTCTTGATGAGTTCCTCCATCTTGCGCTGTTTGAGCGTGTCGACCACGTCGGCCAGGCTGCCCTTGCGTCTCTCCGGGGTGCCCAGAGCTGAAGCGGAGCTGGGCTCGCTCCCTGGCCGCATGGACCCCTCCTCCTGCTGCTGCTGCTGCTTACTGGGTGAGGTAGACGAGTTGTGCTGGGGGTAGGGGCTCAGGGCCAGGCCTTTACTGCCATCCTGATCCTGACAAAAAAACGGAGATAAAGACAGGGTGTTAAACAAAGCGATAAACAGGCCTTCACTAATTATTTTGTCCTGTTCCTGAGTGTTGAGGCATGTTTAGATTTACTTTCATCCTCATCTGCCCATCTGTACTGTAGAAAGTCTCTCTCTCTCTTTGCCTCTGTCGGTCTGAAGTCTCTTTAGACAAAATCATTAGTGGCGAAAAGTTTCAGTCGTTTCACCATCACAGGAACTGTCTCTTTCTCTGAGAAGGGAAGTTTTTCTACTTTGAATCAGCTCCAAACACACAAGAACGTCCACGTTTTTCAACCGCATTTTTTCTTCTCTTCTTGACCAACATGACAGCTGCGATATCAATCACCATCTTCGACATTTCATGCATTGATCTTACGTCCAAATTTATAACCGTTCCCATCTTATGGTTTCTTATGTAATGTGGCTTGTACACTATACAAAGTGAAACTGTGCAGTTGTTGCCTTAAAGGGCTATTTCTAACTAATTATTATATTTATTATATATAATTATTATATGACATTTATTTTTTAATATTGGTGTTTTTTGCTTATGTAAGTATATGCACACATACTGTAAAATGGGTCAATGACAGATGTGGAGACTTATGATTATGAATTATCACACACACCACATTACTTTCGCCCAGCTCCGGATCTCCTATATAAAGTTTAATTACAAAACAAGTCAGGTATTTAGAGACCAGGTCAACAGTCCAAGTCCTTTAATCAGGGTTAATCTTTGGTTATTACCTTCTATTACCTTACCTTACTACCCGCGTGACTGACAGCAGCCACAGCCAATCAGACAATAGCATAATCAGCTACTTTGTGCCACCTGCATCTGTCACGCAAAGCAAAATGTCCTCAGTCCAAACTGAGGTTCACAAGATTGATCAAGTTTTTATAATTTTATTTTAATAATGACATCTGTTTTTAATCATTAACTCAGAGAGTGAACAGAGAGCAGCAGATGGTTCATTTACTAAAGCTTAATGCAACACGAATTACACAAGACACAGAACAGTGGCAAATACAATTTTATTTATATCGGTAGAGTGAGACTGTTAGATGATCTGACTTAGCCCCGCAAACAAAAGAGTTCATTATATGCAACATGGAAAAAGATTAAATGCTATAGAAAACATAATAATAATAATAATAATGTATTTATTTTCATTGTAATGTGCTCTTTTAACAATGTTTTAATACTCATTTTTATGTTGATAAAATTATTAAATGACTAAATGTCAACATTTTTAAATGACAATTATACGCTATTTATTTTTAATAATAACTACTATTTACAAAACAATTAAGTTTATACAACATGGAAATTTTAAATGCAATGGAAAAGTTTTATTATATTTATTAAGTTGTTATACGTTTTATTTATAATAATCATTTATACTAATGATTATTCGTAGTTTTTATTACATTACTAGTACTAAAAAAATATTCTCTTTGAATGTTTTTCTACTGTTTTATAATAATAATTATTTTTTTTTAATATATTTATAATAATTTTTATGTTAATAAAATTATTAAATGACTAAATGTTTTAACATTGAATGTTGCCATTTAATTTATTTTAGCCATGTACATGCCATTTAATAACATCAATAACTTTCACAAAACAGACAAATAAACAAACATAATATTCAGATCTAGTACATACAGTTGTCAACACTCCATATAACCAGTTATACTGAACATATCACACAGATTGACTCGTCACAATCCATCATCATCATCATCATGATAATAATTACGGGTAGAACTAATTAAACAAACACTTTCACTTACTACAAATGCATACCGAGAGACATTTCACGTTGATACTCATTCACAAACAGACTGATGACTGGCAAGCTTAAAAGATCTTAACAGGCTATTATGATACACGGAAAATATGACAGCTTGCATACTGATTCCCCCCCTTTTCCGTAATCTGCCTGCAAAAAGGCACGTTTTTCCAGACACACCCCTCCGTTTCATCCCTCTTGTCCCCATCAGCTCCAGTCAGGCCATTCAAACTGGGATTAGGTCACAAATTACCAAAGCGGTGCATGATCACCTGGTCATTTGCAAACAAAACTGTCAACTAGCTGTTAAAGAACTAACAGAAGAAAGATAGAATGAAGAGGGGGGACGAGAGAGAGAAAGCTAGGGAGAGAGTGGGAACGAGTGGCAGAATGGCAGGCGTTTCTCTTTGCCTGCTTTAGTGTGGCATGCATCTTAAAACACGGTCACACCTGTCACTTCCAATCTATCTAATCCACTGCATACTTCAAACCGCAGCTCGCATCTTTCTCCAGAGATGTCTAGAAAACAATTCAAATAGAAGGTGAGATGGTGGCGGAGGAAACTGTATTCCTTCGCTTTTTCATGTCCTCAGCCGTGACACTAAGTCTCGGACAGAGGAAGAAGCAGATGAACTAATGGCTTATTTGTTGCTTTCTTTCCCCCATCTTTAAATATACGGCAGTGAGTAACAGGTCTACAGTAGGGTTGATATTCAGGTTAAGTACCCCTATTTTGTCCATTGATTACGTGTGTGTGCATGATTTTCTGCTGCACATGAATAAGTGTGCAAAGCTGAGTATATGTATTTATATGCATTTCTGATGTGCCGTTCTGCGCGGTGTGGGTGGTTCTTCTTTTAGTTGTGCAGATGTCAATTCTTTGTGGAAAGGCTGAAACTGCGTCTCTCTCCACGACCCTCTCTTCATCCTTAAACCACGACAGCATGGCGACAGAATTAAACAACTTTTGTCCTCTTAAGCTCATGTATGACAGGAGCACATTTAAACACACTTCAACTCTTGGCAAGAAAGCAAAATGCCTTCTTTCCCCCTCTAGTTTTTTCCTCTCGTATTCTCCCTTCAGCACAGATGCCAGCGTTCTTCCAAATGCCATCTTTTTTCTCCCTTTTTTTAATGTTTGTCCTGCCTGTGCTCCGCAGGATTCCAACCTGTTTCCCTCAGAGCGTTTCTCTCACTCCTTCTCTCTCACGCTTCCATATGCTAACTTAAATCCTGTTATTTTACGGATACAGGTAGCATCTAGCTAATGAGACTAACTCAATGCACAGCCGTGTGATTCTCTGGCTCGCGTTCACCACGCGCTAGGAAACTAACCTCTACGCTTGCTATCAGTTAAACTGTCAAGAGTCCCGCTGCTGAAACACACACGCTCGAGTTGGACATCTCTCCTCTCCTGCGGTGCTGATGCCTCGTCTGTTGTCTTAAGCCCGTGTTGCTGATCTCTACCGTGTGTTCACAATCCACTCACCTCTAAACCTGGCTCAACTGAGCTATTGTCAGCCCTGATCCTGCCGTGAGCGCGCGCGCACACACAGATGAAGATTTACAAGCGCTTCACATACTTTCAAACACCTTACATTGTCTCATTCCTGTCCTTCTGTAGTAGAATTCACATGAGGTTATGCAATAGAAAAAGACATAATTAGATTTGTGTGACACTACAATTTCGATGTATTGTCGGATTTGTAGAAACCTTACAAATACAACACAAATGAATATTTGTGACACTGAAACAAAACGTTCCACATAAAAAACTATTTATAAAATTTGAGTTCAATTTTATTTTTACTGATCTGACCATTTTGGCCTTGGATCAACAATAAAATTCTAATAAATTATTTTATTATAATCAAAATTATTATAAAAACTGAATATATATTTATATATATTTACAAAATAATTAAAAAATTAAGTATTACATTAAAGTATTTAAAATATTAAATATAAATATATGAAGTTAGAAATATAACAAATTATATTAACTTTTAATAATGTTTTGGAAAATTAAATTTACTTTCTATGAAAAAGTTTTTACAAAAGCAATCTTTTATGAACACTGTACAGGAGTCAGGTTAAAGGGTATTTTGTTGTTTTTGACATTAAAAGGCTGAATTTGACGCCCCTAAGAACAAATATTGAAGTGAAACACATAAGAACACGTCTTCCCTTAATGCCTCTCCTCATTAACCGAACAAAAGGGAGAGTAATTAACACCTCGCTATTATCACCCGTGTGTAAAGCTCTTCCCACCTTTCAGTTTCAAAGCCTTCTACTTCCCGCCTGTAAAAAACTGACAGGAGTTTACAGACCGCCGGGGATGCGCACCGACTTCTATTGTAGCAGGTTGCAGACGCTTCAGCTGACCCCATCATCACGAACGCGAGTCTCTCTCTTTCCCTCTCAGGATGAAGAGGTCAGCGGAGTCTGAAGCGCGTGTGCGCTGCTGCCGTGTTAATTTACAATGACAAGATAAAGCGGTAATCTTCCGCTGCGCGTTACCCAGGGACTCGCCGAGTCGATTTACACTTCCCTATCACTTTATACAATTGCCGTGACAAAGCCCCTCTGAGTCCCCACTCGTGTAAATCTCTCTCTCACTCAACTCTTCTGCCAGTCAGTGCGGATCGGCTCAGGGAAACTTAATGTCTCACACATGCCAGCCTGCTTTCCCCAAAATCCGCCCGTGCTCGAGATGGATACGCTTTATTAATCCACATCAAATACAGTGCGCATGTTTTTTTTAATGCCATGTCTGTCATGTCAGCGCGAGAGACAGAGACAGCAGTCTAGTCGTTCAGATAACACAACAATTACAACCACTGCACTGCTGCTGATACATAATTATTCACATTATGATTAATAAGAATAACAATCAATTGTACAATAAACATTTGTTTGGTTTCAGGAGCAAGCCAAAAGCTAATCTGTCAAGTCTGAACTTACTACACTATCAGAAAAATGCTAAATTAGTTAGGGCAGGACCCTCAAAAGGTACATCTTTGTGCATTACCTTCCCATACACTATTAAAAATAAAGGTTCTTTATTGGCATCTGGTTCCATAAAGAGCCTTTAATATTCATGGAACCTTTCAATTGAACAAAAGGTTCTTCACATTTTGAAAAAAAAAACGTATTTTAAGAACTATTTACTGAAAGGTTCTTGGAAGAAACTAATGGCGCTTTTCCACTGCATGGTACGGCACGGTACGGTTCACTTTTGGGGGTTTTTCCACTGGGTACAGTACCTGGTACCTGGTACTTTTTTTCGTACCACCTCGGTTGGGGTTCCAAGCGAACCGTACCGTTACCAATACGTGACGTGCAAACTCTGCTGATCACGGATTGGCCGGAGAGAATCGTCACTACCTGCGTCACTGAACTTGCGACACAAACACAAAAGAACCGCTAGATTTAAATCAGCACAGCCAGCGAAGGATAGAATGCAACTGTTTTGAACGAGCGCACCTTTTTTTTAACAACCAAAAAGTGTCTGTTCCCTCTGTTGAGGAAGAACAGACGTTCCTCTCGTTGATCGCAGAGGAGCGGATCCAGCGAGAGCTTGATGGGGCGACGGGAAATGAAAAAGTTTTTTAGGAGTCGCGGCAGTAGAGGCGGCGCAACTATAACGACATGTGAATAATCCCGCCCACTCTAAAGCGGTACTGAACTGCAGTGGAAACGCAAACCGAGCCAAACCGAGCCGTGCCGTGCCGTACTGAGCCGTACCGAGCCGAGTCGTACCACGCAGTGGAAAAGCGCCATAAAAGGGTTCTACAGCATCGCTGAGAAAACCTCCTTTTGGAACCTTTATTTTTAAGAGTGCTTAGTAATTTAAGGTACCAATATGCACCTTCCTGAAAGGTACAATTTTTGTACCTTTCCCCCCAAAATATAGTAGTTTAACAGCAAGCTACTCTAAAAGAGAGAACCGACAGTCATAAACAAACACACCACGCTGCAAGCTGAGTGTATATAGTGAGAACGAAGGAGACGCTTGAGAGAGAAAGCTCGAGGAGACTTTGCTTTATTGTGGGAAATGGTTCCAAAACTGCAGAGTCCAGCGTGCCCTGTAATCACAGTTAATTGCAGAATTAGCTTACTGTTAAGTTCCTTAAGTACTGATTCATTGTTTTACAGCCGGATTGATTCCTAAAGCCTGTGGTGACATAAGTTTATCGTGAGAAAGATATAGCAGAATCGGGCGGAAGGTCGCTGAAGAGATACTGGAGCTCATGTGTGTGTTCACGTGAGGATGACAATCACAGGGTCCATCTCACTTATATTTCATCTTACGTCTTTAAATAAACAGCTTTAGAACATCTGATACATTCTGTATCCTCCATGACTACAATGACCCATCATGAACTCACACTCCAAAATGACACATGAACCGTTAAGCATGAGTCATTTTGGCCACATTCAAAGAGACGACCTGTCTCGTTGCATCTGCCTATGACATCATTGAAGCGTGATGGCATTTCCACACCAAAAGTGCAAGTGAGAGAGAGAGACAATGGGAGGGACTTACTCTAAGAAGGAGGAGTCAATCAAATGCATATTAACCAACTGGGAGGGGCTGATATGGGCTTTGTCCAATCGTATGAGAGAGGTTTGAGTGTATTCGGCACCTCGTGGGGGGGCCGACTTACCATGTTCGCGTGTAGTGTTGGGGGGCTGTCGAGCAGTTGTGGAGATCGCGGGGACACTTTGCTGCAGTACGAACTCAGGGGCAAGTGAATGACAGCATGTCCGTCAACCTCTTCATCCTCCAATCGCTGTCTACTCGTCCCCATGACTACCTCTCCATCTGTTCCCCCATATGGAGAGGCTGGTCGCTTGGAAGACATCCTGGAAAAAATGAGAAAGGAAAAGTGACTGAGGCATACAGGAAAGACATGGCAGAGACAGAGACGTGGCTGTTGTTTAATTGTGAGTGACATATACGGGAGAATTTCACACACACACACACACCTGACACACACTACTCGCATAATGACAGCCATCAATGCCATAGCTTTGTCCACATCCATCCTTCCATCAAAGAGACGTCCCACCTACACTATCACATAGACATTTACTGTAGCAGCACAGCACACGATGTGTTTAGCCAGCCTGTTTGATGTAAAGACTCAAGCGGCCCATTAAAGAAAAATGCAGACGGCCCAGCGCACATCAAACCATTTACTGTAGCAGCACAGCACACGATGTGTTTAGCCAGCCTGTTTGATGTAAAGACTCGAGCGGCCCATTAAAGAAAAATGCAGACGGCCCAGCGCACATCAAATATCACGTTAGCCAAGAACACAGACAGACAATGGTGTGTGCGTGAGCACCGTGTGCCACAGTAGATGTTAATGACAGTGTATATGGTGTTGACAATGCCAGAGAAAATAGGCCTTGATGATGGTCTGTGTTTCTCTGATACCGTCAGGAAGAAAAAGCATTTATTAAATGAACTCTCTCTCCCACAATGCACGGGGAGGAAAAATGAATATGCTCTCGTAATAAGATTTCATCTGGCTTACGGCATTGCCTAAGTGCTTTCATAGACGCTTCTCAGCCTTGGGGCTAGTGTTACTATGGCCCTGGGGTATAAGTACCAGTCTTTTAAGAGGAAAAAGACAGACAAGGATAAAGAGAGCTGGAGAGAAGTACTTTTTTTTGGCTCCTACTCTGCAACTATAAGAACTGGCAAACAAATTTTATTTGACTGCAGTGTTGTAGTAACTTTGCTTTTCCCCAAAAGCTGTTTTATAAGCAAAGTTATGGAACCCCATTCCGTATACTACACATAATATTATATATCATAATTATTAAAATATATACTACATACACAATTATTTTGCATAATTGCAACTTAATATCTCACAATTGTGACTATTCCTCATAAGTGTAACTTTCTCATAATTATGATTTTATGTCTCACAAGTGTAACTTTATTTTTCAGTATTGTGACTTTATATCTCGTAATTGCAACTACTGCTATGGCAACTTTATATCTCACAATTTTTTTATTTTATTTTATTTCTCACAATTTTGACTTTATTTCTCTTAGAATTACAACTATGTCATGTAATTTTATGACTCATAACTTTATCTTACAATATCTTTCTATATATCTTAATATAACTTTATATCTCATAATTGCGAATTATTTCTCGTAATTGCTCACAATTGTGACTTTCCAATAATTATGACTTTCTCAAAATTCAACTTTATTTCTCATTATTGCTACTTTATTTCCTGTAATAGCAACGTTTTTCACAATGTGACTTTATATGTCATAATTGTGAATTATTTCTCGTAATTGCTCACAGTTGTGACTTTCTCATAATAATGACTTTATGTCTTCAAATTGTGACTTACTCATAATACTGACTTTATTTCTCACAACTGTGACTTTATTTCTCATTATTGCAACTTCATTTCCTGCAATTGCAACTTTTTTCACAATGTGAGTTTAAATCTCATAATTGCGATTTCATATCGCATAATGTGACTTCATATCCTTCACTCCATATGACTTTACAGCTCACTGTTTACTTTAAAAACTTTCTTTCTTTCTTTTTTTTACACTTTATACCACAATTACTTGATATATTTTATGCTCTAAGGTAGAAAAATGAGACTTGCATATAGTACAAAGTTGGTGCAATAGAGAGGTTACTTTTTTAGCACGAATATCTTTCATCAACTAGCATCCGCAGTCTCGGGTACAGTCCAGGTTGCGTGTACTGAACTGTATGGTATTCTCATAGCTCTGGTCTGACTCAGACGCCACATCTGGTGGAGCTCCTGAGCACTGCTAAGGTTTCTCTTTCTCTCATTTACTGCTTATTTGGTTTAGTTTAGCTGTAAAGACAAACATCATATAATGTTTCTAACTGTCTGGACGGGATAAATAAGACTCACCTCAATCAAACCCAAGGCTGGCAGCTATGGAAATAATGAAGACATGCTTAAGACCACTTCGACTAACTGTATAGATGAGATGAAGTGAAGAGTTAAATGATAAACTATGATGCAGATGTCATACTCCTAGAGTCTGACAGTAACTGCTCTGCCATAAACACTGTAACGCAGGTGTGTGATATGTACAATTGTGAGTATTAGTGACTATATCTGTGTTAATTTGGCTGTATGAATGTGAATGTGTATGAATGGGGTACCTTGGCTGTGTGCTGGTTCACACTGGGGTAGTAAAAGCAGTCAGTGCAGCTGTATAAACTGCAGTTGGGCCGTCAGAGCCGCACGGCCTGTCTGCCCCTCCACCAGCACTGTGTTTACTCTACCTCCAGACACTCACACACACTGGGCCCTTTTGTTTCACTCCGACACACACACCTCTGTGCCGCTTTCTCCAACACACCAACCCCCAACACACACATCAGGACCAACAAAGACACATACACGACCCTCATCTAAACGTAGGCAATCGAGAAACGGTTCTTATTGGAATCAGCAAATTGCCTGTCACATCTAATTCGAACCCGAGAACTGTTGTTTTAATAACTGTTTAGTTAAGGCTTGTGAAACTTAAATCAGCGTAATGAATAGCTGGAAAGGTTTGTAGTAAAAATAATACTTAAAAAAAATGTAAAAAAAAAAATATCAAAATAGGTAAGTAAAACAACGGTTGAGTATATAATAACTAAAAAATTAAAAAAATTAAAAAAGGTCAAATACTTCCAAAAACGTTCTAAAAAGAATCATTAATGGAACCGGAATTATTTAGTGGAACTGGATTTAGAACCATAATTTTTCATGACTCATATTCTCAAGGCAATATTCCTTACAAAAATACTCAGGAGTGAATTTTCCATTTAAATATATCTCCAGCATTCAATTTACAACTAATTCACAGCTGTTTCCTATATCTGTGCATACCTTTAGACACGTCTGCATCTCTTTTCCGCTCTTCCCTGTCTCACGCACTCTTCCTTTTGCCTCTTTCTTCCCTACTTCCTTGCCGGCCCACTGACAGAGGCTTTTCACAGCTCCTCTTGAGCAATAAAATGTCTATTTTCCTGCAAGCCTTTGAAGTATAATTACTATACAATTCCACTCCCCAGGTGAGCAGGTTGTAGCCACTATTTCATTTAAAGTTGGCAGACCTGTCGTGGTGGAGAGTCTACATGAAACATTTAAAGCTTGTCGAGATGTTGGGATTAAAAAAGAGAGGGTTTTATTAAGCAGATAAATTGGCAGAAATGCTGGTCTCCAAGGTCATAATTAGCAGCCATTAGCATAATTTCACTCCATCCTTCTGTGTTCCAATAAAGGCCGGCCTGCCAAACACACAGAACTTGTCCACTGACACACACACACACACTCTCGCTAACACAACACAGACGCACAAAGAACAGTCTCTGAAGCTAAGACTTCCTTACAGGCTAGTCATGTCTGCTTATTTGCATTGTAAACTTTAACAGCGGTCGTCGCTCATTATCTGGTGGATTAATAACTTTATTGCCTTTCATTTTCACAAGGCTAAGAATTATGTTATTCATAAACAGCCTCGAATATCAAAGCCGAATGTGCTGATATGGGTGAGGTGACTAAAGGAACACAAATGATGTCAGTATAATCTCTAAACAGCAGTATTATCCAGTTTGGGGTGTATTATCAGAGAAAATGCCATAATTTTTTCATATTTCGTAAACTTAAGCATTCGCACCCCGTCCCATCGCAGTTGAGCTGCAGGTCTAGAGGCTAACTTTCACGGCTAATCGTTAAAAGCTAATGGCCGCCCCACTGGTGCGCCGCTCGGCCCCCTCGTGCAGACTGCGTGCGTTAAACCCAGATTAAAGGCACACTTCCCCTTTGAGTTTAGACGCAGATTGAGCGCTCTCCTAAGTCCCTCTCATATCACATGTACATTTCTCTGCAGACGCTAATCGTCCAAAATACAGGGTCCATTAAACAGCGGAGTGGAGCTGCACTTTAAATACTGAATCTAGGAGCTTTACCTAATCACCATCAGCAGTGGTTAACACTCCAGAAGTGCCTCTAATGACAGGACATAATTTAGAGGCTAAACGTGTCACATACGCACACACTCGGATGTGCGCGGCCCACGGAAAAACTTGCATGATGATGCTTTGTGGATGTTGCCCGCATGCCTATGATAAAAAGCATTTAGATACACAGAGCGTAATTGAAAATATCATGATAGGCACCTTCTGTTGTTTTTATATAATGCTGATAATATTAATTATCATTATTTTATGTAATACTAATAAAACTTTACATAAGAATAAAAAAAAAAATTTACAAATTGTATAAATTTTATATAAACGTAAATATAAATTGTGTCAATAAAGGTTTTGTCAGATTTAGCTCACTTGTGGGGAAATTTTATCTAAAGTAAATCAACACAAACAGTGCCATATTCCTAAAGCGTACTTTGACATTTCTTACAAAAAACTTTTCTAAGGCATTATGCTCCCTTAAAAGATATATAAAAACATCATTACACTGGGTAAAGGTAAATTCCTGTGTAATATGATTATAAGGAGGTCAGCTCTTCTTTGTTATCAGACTGTGGGAATGAAACAAAGTGTGTCCAAAAGTTCAGACAATCAGCCTGTTCAACACAGATAACAACAGTGATGCCTTCTGTAGGAAACTGAGAATACCTCACAATCCACTCAGACATTAGGAGAAGTGCTCATCCCTCTCTCTCCTCTTTATCTTCTGCTCCCAGGACGATAAAGTCGTAGATAGTCCCCATCAGGACATCCCCCTTTTGCACAATCAACCATTTGTGCACAACTCTCTCCGTTATGAACATTCTTTTAAGTATATTACTTTACAGCTATTTATAGCTCTCTCAATTTTTCTCTCTGTGGGAATAGAGCGGCTGGCAGCAGGACGGAAGAGAGAGTCAGAGAGAGTGACTCCGCTGAAGTAAATTCATCCGTATTGCAAACTTGTGATGGCTCTTCATCATTCACGCCGTAATCACTAATCACAGCGTTCACCGCTGCTGCTATGAGGGCACTTGGATTTGTGTGTGTATGGGGAGGGGGTTAATTTACCAAAACATAATATAAATATATAGGCCTATCTGTATTGGATGGTAAAAAAAATCTCACAAAAAACTTTTTCAGTTTTGTTTACAGCATCTTTAAGATAGCTGATGGCTAGTAACTGCGCTAAAAAGATTTTAAAAAAAAATCACTCATAGAAACTTCTTTAAAAAGTCTACCACCCCTTAACGTCAGTGAATAATAATTTCACATAAGCATACATGTCTCTAAATACACACATTATTCACACACGCACTCAGAGAAAACACAAAGCTGTCTCTGTTTTTCCCTCTGACGCGAGGGCTGCAGGGCCACCCCAATTTCCTGTCCAGCGTCGCCACAAAAGGCAAGAACACAGAGCCTAATGTCACTGTCAGCCATTACTGTTTAGGCATGGAGGTGAAGTCACACACACACACACACACACACACACACACACACACACAGGGGGGGGAATAAATAATACTCACTTTTCTAATAATACTGGCTGCCTTTTAAAAAAATTAAAACTACAAAAATTGAATAAGCAAAGCCGCTGCAAGAGCTCATAACACGGACTACACAATGGAGCCAGTCTGCAGTGAATGACTCAGAGAAGATCCAGAACCTCTATCAATCAGACAGAACACACACACACACACAGTTTTGTTTTTGTGAAAAGTGGGGACATCCCATAGGCATAATGGTTTTTATACTGTACAAACTGTATGTGCTATTGCCCTACACCAACCCTACACCTAAACCTACCCCTCACAGGAAACTTTGTGCTATTTCAGATTTTCAATACACTCCATTCTGTGTGATTTATATGCGTTTTGAAAAGTGGGGACATGGGGTAATGTCCTGAAAAGTCACCTTCTCCTTGTAATACCTATGTCATACCCTTGTCATTATACAAATGTATGTCCTCATTTGTCACAAAAACACGCACACACACACACACACACACACACACACACACACTTTAAACCTAAATGCGGACATAACATAGATTTCTAGTGATTTTATATGACAAACACACACCTTAACTCTATTCCTACATGATAACATTCCTGAATGTCCCCAAAGGGAGTTTTTGTCAGATTTAGCTCTTGTTTGGGGACAAATCTGTACCCAAACTATAGCTAAGTACAAACTCACACACACAAACGTTTGTTTTTCTATCATTGTGGAGACTTTCCGTTTACTTCTTTTGTTTTCCTACAAAGCTAAAGATATTTTCTTTCCCCTAAACCCCATATAAACTTTCTAAATTTAAATGTAGACAATATTTATTATGTTTACTAAGCTGTTTTTCTTAAGGGACTACCCGGTCCCTACAACAGTCATTTGGTCCCCTCAATATAGAGTAATATCTTAATATAGTCCCTCAACCACAGACTTCAATTGTGTTTAAATAAAGCTAATTATGAGCACTATAATGAAGCTCCGACCTTAACCCTTTGGATTTTTAGAATATATATATATATATTAAAAACCACATTCTTTACTAATGTTTTTTCCCAAATGACTAGGTCTCTGAATGTTCTCCAAAGGAAGGTTTTGTTAGATTTATCTCAATTTCGTCTCTATATCTAAGTACATAAACAGACTCCTTCAGCTAGATAACGGCACACTTCGCGTATGCTACAAAGCAGTTTGCAAGTAATATGTGTTAAAGTGACAAAGGTAAATGCAGGCAGGTGGTTTAATCTGTTTTATCTTTGATGCAAAGCAATCAAAAATTGAAGTGCATCAGCCACATTTGTCACCAGCTAGTTCAATCACACACGCTTAGTACTGAACGAATTCACTTTGTTTTCTGTGTATCTTTACCAGTAAGAATTGACTGACCCGGAGACAGACAGACAGAAGAAAGATAGAGAGAGTGAGAGAGTGAGATGTAACACAACCATCCCTTAAAGTAGGGAGGCAAATGGAGAAGTGTTAAAGTCCCTTTTCCCCCTCTCTCACTCGCTCACTGTCTCTCTCTTTGAGGAATGTGACAGTTTGGCCATAGAATCTCCTCTGTGCTCCTCCCAAAAAATTAAAAATTTAAAAATTTAACTCACACAAAACCACTCCAATAATAATAATAATAATAATAATAATAATGCAAAATATTTTAATAATATATAATATAAATCATATTTAGTAATATATTTAAAATATTTAGGATAAAGATTTAACAATATATTTTAAGCAAAGCAACATTTCGTATAATTATCTACTACTGTTTTATAGCACAGATTATTTGAAAAACACTTAATAGTTCTGTATTTTTAGATATCAAATATATAAAAATAAACTACACCAAACAGGAAATGTTCTTAATAAATAAAAAAAATCCACTTTCTTACTATCACATTTTTTTTTAACAAAACCTCTTTCATTTTACAGTGTGCTAATTTTAAACATGATCATTTCATTTTTTTCTAGGTCTCATTATTTCCTCGCATGTCAGTAAAACTTACAGTGTTTCAAAAACACTCAGCATCAGGACAGAAGAGACACACACACAGCCACACATACACTCTACACGGACAAACACTGCACTTTCGCTCCCGTCCTCTCTCTCTCTCTCTCACACACACACACACACACACACACACACACAGTTTCATGCTCTTTAACCACTGACAGCCAGCATTACTGGAAAGCAGAGTTTAACCATCCTTTTCTTCTAAGTCATTGTAATCCCTGCATTTATCACTATACATTCTGCTTTCCTATGTAATCCTTTAAATGTTTAATTCCTCATAGTTGTTGTTATATTTTTCCGCCCCCCTCCTCATGCTCCCCCCGGAGAGAGCGTGATGATTTATTAAAAACACATTTTCCTGACGTATAAATGTGTTCTTAATTCAGGGATAAGACCCCAGAGTTTATCGCTGAACAAAAGATTAGTTTCATCTGGTAAAACAGTGCAGTGCTCTAATGCAATAAAATAAAAAATGTGTGTGTGTGTCGGGGGTGAAGCTTGCATTAAAACTGAGTATTATGGGTAATCTTCCCTATGGAGCTTTAAAGTCAAACCTTCTTTATTCGGCAGCAAAGCCACTTTTGTTGACATATTAAGTAGGTGAGAACATTTCCCACTTCGGACCACCACAACAGAAGGCCAATGCAGACATCTGGCCACAATAAAACACCAAAACAAACAAGATTAAAACAACACGGACAAATGGGAAAAAAGGCTTTGTGAAGCAAGAAAGTCGTACAGAAGTGAAATGCTCTGTGTTTTGGTTGCCAAGCGTGTTACCCAGAAGTGCAAAAAAAAAAAAAAGAGAGAGGTTGTGCCAGGGAAATACTGACGGGAGAGCACCGACCCTTATCAAACACCATCTAACACTCTCACACACACACACATATATACATATATATACACAACACACAACGACAGCATGTAACCTGTTAGACCAAACGCTAGAGACATTTACTTACTTTCAAAGTGGGATATTGAGAAGAAAGTCCCAGCGTCCCATGCTCACAGAGTGTCTAGAAAACACACATCTCACAGTCACACTGAACTTTCTTCTCTTTTCTAAACCGCAAACACATTCACACACAGCCTGTCTTTTACATGCCAAACAAACTAATAAAGTAGTCTGTTTCTTACACTAACACACATACACCATCTCCTACTCATCTGCCTGTCCCACGCTCTCCTCCTCCTGGCACGACTTGGAAAAGTGAACGTCTCGTGCGTGAGTGTGTGAACGTACCTGTTAAACTCCTGAGGAAGCTCAGGCTCAGTAAGCATGCTGAAACAAGGGGTCTGAGATGCACGACAACATTCGCGTCCAACACCCGGGGACCTCCGAGAACACACACCACATACACGCACACGCTGTCTGGTGCTCCTCTAACCTCTCGCAAAACCAGACACTGTTTCTGTTTCTCTCCGCTGCACACACACTCTCACACGCAGAACCTCACACTCCCTCCCCTCTCTCTCTCTCTCCACCCCTCTCTATGGCTCTAAGCTGCTAGATCGCCTCTTAAAGGGCCAGACCATGACATGGTGTAGCGCGGAGCGCAGTTTCACACTCATACACACACACACATGCAGCAGCACTGCCCCCTTCCTTCAGCCACAGTGTCCCTCTGTTGTACTTCTGATCAAGTGCACACACACACACACATATACACTTGGCTTATCTAAATGTTCAGTATCATAGGCTTCTATTGTTTTTACATAAATATAGTATTAATTACTACAGACTGTCCCTAAGCATCAAAGGAACATTTCAGTTTTAGAAAAATAAATGCATTTGCCAAATTTATGATTCATCTTCCATTTTAGGATGTCCCCATATGTCTTCAAAAAAGGTTGGCAAAATTTTGTCTTACAAGTATAACTAAGTGCACGCGCACACACACACTACTCAGTTAAGTCGCATAAAACGGTGCATCGTTTATAAGTATTGTTAGCTTTTATATATACAAAACTTTATTTTTTTACTCAAACAAGAACAAAACATAAAAACAAAACAAAATGTAAAAACCAAAAAACAAACAAACAAACAACAAAAAAGTAAAAACAAAATGTAAAAACAAAACAAAAATGTAAAAATAAAATAAAATGAGATAAAATATAATATAATGAACAGGCATGAACCAGAAAACCTCCTTTTTTAGGTCGAATTTCATCAAATTGACATGAATGACAAAACGTGGCTTAAGCACGTGCACGTCAAACACATACAAACACGTCTGATTTTTCAAGCGAGCTCTATGCTTTGTGTTTTCATAGTGTAACTAACACACGGCCCCTGTCACTCTTTATTACAGAGAAAGAGAGAGGGAGAGAGAGAGCTAGACAGAGAGAGAGAAGGAGCTATTCTTCTAAATGGAGGAAAGCATGTCTGACACATTGAAATACAGCAGCAAGACTTTAACGCTGAACTTTAAACAGAGCGTCAGTCTTTCTCAACCTCCTCACACATACACTGCAGTCCACCTTCTGAGCACACTGCAGACACATTTAGTCTAAGCTTGTGAACTTGCACACACATACACACTTGCATATAAATACTAATCATATCTCCTTTATATGTCTCCTGCAGTCATGGTAATATTTACAACAATCAATGTCTATGTATGGCATTTAATTTATGATAAGACTGAAAAACATATGTTTGGTATGTAATCCAATTTATTGAGTAAGTTAGTGAACTCTGAATAGCACTGTGTCCTGACCTCTCCAGCACAAACTGTAATAACATAGTTAGAGCATTGTGATAACATTATTTGTGCATTTTCCTGTTGATCACTGAGGAAATTGTTAGCAGCATGACAATGTTCAAGACACACACCGACCCGGCCTGACCTCTGCCAGGACTGTACACTAGTAGAATTCCCCTGATAAATACAAATAACAGTGTTTTGTCTCTCTCTATGTGTGTATGTATGTAATCTATTACATATAAAACAGAATTAGGACACATTCACAACAGAACATGTTTTTGCTTTGAAAAACGCAAGACGCCAGCAGTGGAAAGGCGAAAATGCAAGGTCTTGAAATGCGTTTTTTTTAAAGTTGAACTTCTTTTAACTTGAGAGACATGTTTTTAGAATGCCATGTCATGCATAGATATGTATACGTAGATGCCTCATTAGCGACTGTTTCTATGGGCCGCTATACGTAAGCCGTCTGCCACATTGGAAGGGTCAACTTGACGTCATTCACCATAATAATCAATGAATATTTGAAGATGCCACAAACCTTACATATCTATGGTTCCGTCACTCTCTCGCATTCTCACCCGTGAAAGGTTATCCCGTTTCTTCAAGAATTTAAATCCCAGCGGTTTTTACAACCATCGGCTGTGCAGGATTGTGGCATCTTCGAATATTCATTGACTATTATGGTAAATGACGTCAAGGTGACGGTTGCAAGATGGCAGACGCGGCTACGTGCTTGGAGCTGTCAAATGAGGCATCTACCTATACATATCTATGGTGTCATGTGCAAGACGTTGCAAAAGACATGAGATGCGAGTCCAATGGTCAAATACCTCTGTCTAGCATGTTTACATAGAAAAACAATTGAAAAGTAGTGCAATGGAATTGAAAAACACGTTCTGTGTGAATGGCTCCTTAGTTTCTTTTTTGACAACAATTTCTGATAAAATGTGTGGTGCTAGAATGTGAAAAGTCAGTCATGATGCTAGAGTCTAAATCTATGGGAATTTTCTGCCAGATTAATCATCCACCTAGCAAAAATTCTCTGATTACTTAGAAACATAATAGCAAAATTCTACTCAACAAGCCTCACAGTTTAATTTATGTCCGAAGCACATACTGGTGCTGGACAACATACTTGCAAAAGTTTAATACTAGGGGTTAAGAGTTTGTTTAAACCTCTAACCCCAAGTTTGAGCAGTAGTAATAGCGATGCTTGCCTTAGAAAGCACTAATACAAAGTGGTGACAGAAGACAGGATGTTGTAGAGATGTTTCAAAGGCAAGAGAACATAGTGAATAAAATGCACACACATGCATACATTCCAATCCACACATACACACCAGCGCAAGCGGCACATTAATTAGCTTCTCTCAGGTAGCAATTATCTGTAGTTAAACATTTGAACGATCTTTAGAGTCAAGGCTGCAAGGTGATAGAGAAATAGATGAAAATAAAAAAAAGAGTTGAAATAACATCAACAACAGTCATTGAGACAAAGACGGAGAGCAGAAAATCCATCAGAACAGGAATAAAGAGCAGTTCCAAACAGTTTCATCCACTTTAAAAGCTGCTATTGATGAAGATGGCTTTTTAAGATAACGGGAGCGTGAATGGAGAAGGCAGGTGCGTTCAAGGTTCAAACTCTCCAGATGGGCTGATTTGCTCAATTCCGACAAATCTACAAACTTCACTTTTCTAACTGAAGGCTTTTATGAGAGAATTGAACTATAAACCGCACACATATGTTCATGCAGGTCTTTGCATAAAATACCGTATTGGCCCGAATATAAGACGACCCTGATTATAAGACGACCCCCCCCTTTTCCAGATGTACCTTTTGGAAAAAGGCTTTTTAAAAACCAAATCTTGTTTTTTCTCAGTTAAACACATTTTGTCTTCAATTATTTTCATATTGCATATTTTTCCTATTTTAATTTTTGTTTTATTTCCAAGAAAAAAATATCGTCTTATATTCGGGACAATACGGTAAGCTACAAATGTACAGAAACATATGTGCATGTGTGTACGGTCATTATCGGTTTATCTCTACAAATACATGCATCCAGCACATGCAAACACACAATAGGTCCCTTCAGCAGATGTGTAGTGTCCAAGCCCCCTCACAGCTGTGCTGCATTAGAGGCCCCGAGTCTGACACAGACAGGCAGTAAACAATTCCCTTACACTGTTACACACACACACCGCTAGAGTTCAGCTATTACCCCCTAAGAGGCAAAATCAGGGAAGTTCTTCAGCTTCCTGAAGCCCATCAGTATTTGTATCCTTCACGAAGCCAAACAGAACAAAATGTGGTTCAAAATCAAGCTTTTCACTTCATTTTATCCTCAAAATAAAAATCTGTCATCATTTATTCACCCTCATGTCATCCCAAACCTGTATGACATTATTTCTTCTGTAAAACGCAAAAGAAGATATTGTGAAAAATGTGTACCTCAAAAACTCCAGTACCTCATTTTCATTGTATGGAAAAGAGTGGGCAACACATTCCTAAACATTTCTCCTTTTGTGTTCTACAGAAGAAAGAACGTCATACAGGTTTGAAATGACCTGAGGGTTAGTAAGTTATGACAGAATATTCATTTTTGGGTGAACTATTCATTTATGGATCTCTACGGTTGCCCATCTATCATTCGCTTCCTTTCTTTCTCTCTTTGGGAGAGAAGATGTGTGACAAGGTTGTGAAGTGTGTTTATCTGGACTGAGGGAGAGGAAATCTCTGGCTGATGGCTGAGTGGTAGACGAGAGAAACCATTAAGATAGAGTCCTTATCTTCCCTCCTCAGCAGAATACCGCCTTTATACACACACACACACACACACACACACAGTGAAAATCTTTGTCTGTCTGCCTCTGCTGCTGTCAGTCATCTGGCAATGGTAAATATCAACATATCACAAAATACACAACAACAGCTTTTCTCAGTTGTACATGCAAATTTATAAGGTGCTCTGTTGTTGTAAGGACTGTTTCACCCACTAGGCAAACCATATTGCCAGTATGTAGTGCATTGTAGTGCCACATCAAAAAAATTACCAGAACAAAGTCATAGAGACACAAGATTATAATATTTATAAGATTATTATAATATTTTGAGAATACAGTTAATATTTTGAGAGAAAAAAATGTATTTTTTGTACTTTGTCCTGTTAGCTTCTATGTGAGAAATGGATGTGGACGATTTAGTTAAATCTACTTTAGGACAGGATTTAGCAATAAAAAAGTCCTTGGTCTGAGTTATAATTTGGACACTGCAGCAGTTATGTACAGTAGGAAACAATTTATTCAGGAGAAAAATACAGACAGACATTCAGGAAATTGTCTCTTTTGTGCAATCTGAAATGTATCTCCAAGGATATCGATGGTTACATCTGCGTGCTATTCAAAGAGTATATGTTGTTTCTCAAGAGACTATGAGGATGAAAATCAAAGTATTCGACCCTGAATGAGTGAGAGACCGGCGTGCTCAATGTCTCCAATACTTCAGCCGAGGAGTTGACCACTGCTGCCATTTCTGATTTCTTCATTGCTAAATCTATTCTAAACTAGGATTTGACTAAATTCTCCACATCCATTTCTCACATAG